GTTAGACGATCTTTAAAAGGTTTGGTTGTTTAGAGTTCTCCAAGTACACTTCCTTCAGAAGAAATGCTAGTTCATAACATCCCCACCCCACCCCCGTAGATCTTCCACATGCAAAACAAACTCCAAAAAGTAAGGTGCATACTCCACGAATGAGGTACACACGAGTCCTTTGGAAAAGCACAACAGAAAACTGAATTCTGCAACTGTATTTCTTCTCCTAGATTTTGTCTCCTATCTTGTTGAATTATCAAAATCATACAAAAGAAAACCTGACTTCATTAGAATCTGGTCTCTTCTAAAACAAAGGTTATATAAACGGATAGAACCTTCAGACCAAGACTGAAATACTGTTGAACAAAAACACATTGGAATATTCCATTTTGACACAAATGAAACTGAATTTGTATGGCTTTGTGCTAATTGAAATGAACCCAGTATCAATGAATCACCTTAGCTTGATTATTACAGCACTAACTTGGCCAAGGACAGCATTAGTCTGAGGAGTGCAAACAGGCTGTGGCAGAGGCTCTATGTCAAACCTTCCTCAGGGAAAACTAGGAGGGACCCCACGGGGATGGGAAGAAAGACGCTAGGGCAGAGCTCTGGGCCAGGCCGTCTTCCATCTGGCCTTTCTGGGCAGAGCCTTGCTTCCCCTGGAGCATTTCTCCATCAGGATCTCCCTGAACAGACGGGCTCGGCATCACTGAAGAGATCTTAATAAAGGGACGACTTCGGAAGGTGTTAGCCAGGTGAGGAAAACCAGAGACCATGTAATACCCTAAGGCTAGGCAATCAACAACGGGGAGCTCTTTCTATCCCTAGGCTTGAGGAGACAATGGGGGGGGGGGGGGGGGGGGGGGGGGGGCGGGAGCTTACGAAACTCCAGAAAAGGGGTTAAAACGCAGAGTGTCTCCAGGCACGACTGTGTGGCCTTTCGGTGAGGAGAGCAGTCCAACCAGGAAAATCTGCCAGGGAGGGAAGGAGGATGGGACTTTCAGGGTCCAGCACAGAGCTGGAAAACTTCTGTCTGTCCTCCTTGCCCTCTGTGGACCCTTCTTCTCCTTGACATGCCCGGGGTCAGCAAGCCACTGCTCATGAGCCATGCGAGGCTCTGAAGCACGGACAGGTGTCTCTGAAGTACGGACACGTGTCTCTGAAGTACATACATGAGGCTCTGATGTACGTTTATGTGGCTCTGATGTACATATATGAGGCTCTGAAGTACATACATGAGGCTCTGATGTACATATATGAGGCTCTGATGTACATATATGAGGTTCTGAAGTACGTACAGGTGTCTCTGAAGTAC